ATCATATAACTGGAGCCAGAATGTCCTTTTCCAGGGTGGGGGCACAAGTAAACCTGGACGAGGACGCAGGAAACGGACTGAACAAGAAAAAGAAGGGGGCTCTGCTTTACACTCTGACTCCCCATCAAGTCCCTCACCAACCCCAACTCCTGGACCAAAGCGAGGACGGGGCAGAGGATCTAGAGGGGGTAGAGTGGGCTTGGCTTCATGTCATAGAGAGCGGCCAACAGGGGCAAAAGGCAGGGGCAAAGCTGCTTCTGTGTCAGCAGCGGGTGGAGCAGTGACTGCTGGAGGTCCAGAGGTGTCTGGATTATTCCAGGAGGGGCTGGACTATTACAGCGGAGACAGCAGCAGTCTCTCTCCCCTGGCCACTCCCAATCCTGCACCACCTTCCACCTACCTTCAGGACCCCTGTGAGTATCCTTCCCCTTATTCTGCCCATCCATCCACACCTTCGTCTGAGGAGCGATATCCAGCTTTGTACCCTGGAGAGTCCTCCTCTTCCCTCTCACCCAGTGTCTCATCTCCCCCTTACCCCCCTAAGCCAACCCCTCCTCCGCCCCAGTCCTACCACCCTGTCCCTTCCAGGACATTCTCCCCATCCTGTTCCCCCTCCCCGCGGGTAACCCCCCACTGTGGCACTGCACTCAGTCCCCAACACCGCCCTCCTCAAAAAGACCAACAGTTCTCACAGTATGACTCTCCCAGTTATTGCAGTTCACCTTACTGGTACGGACAGACGTCTCACAGCAGCAGCCCGAGCCCTCACTCACACAGCACACACTCAAATACAGCCATACACACTCACAGCAACCCACACGCAAGTCCTCATGGAAATACACATAGTCATCCCCTCGCCAGCCCAAATGTTAACACACACACACATATTAATCAGGCAAGCCATGACACACACCAACACAATGCACAGCAACTCAGCAACACCCATCCCACCTCACACCTCCAGAGCAACTCCCTCTCCCACACAAACCCCAATGGGAACAACACGCTCAGCAACTCCAGCCTTTCGTCCCATACACACGCCAACCCCAGTCAAAGCATCCACTCACACTCAACTCCTGTGCTGTATGGGGAGTGTAGCCCTCCTTCAACCTTGCACCCCAACAAACAGGATTTGACTCCCCACTCCATGAGCACAGGCCACCGCCAAGGCCCCTTGTCTCACTCTCCATACCCCAAACCTTCCCTGGACTCCTCACCCCATCAAGAGGACACTAGCGGCTTTTCCTTGTCCCACCAATCCTACCAGGCCATGGGACAGCGGTACCCCTCCCAGGCAGCTCAGGGAGGTGGTGTGTTGTGCCAACTCTTGGACCCAACCAATGACGACAGCTTCAGCGTCACCAGCCTGTAACAACAGGTGAGTTTATGTTACCTTTATACAAACAAGGCCCCCCTGAAAATAAGCACTTTCAAGCAGTTGCGACATACAAACTCAATAAGATTCAATAGAGCCTCCCCTAAACACAGCTTGGGAAACTGAGCACTGAAACACTGAGGTGCATTGGTTTTGTACAGAAAATAGGCGCTGCCAGTGCAAAAATGGTGTTAGCAGACACAGGCCCTAACTCCACACAAAGAGAACGCAGTCATGAAACTGCCCACTTGCTTTTGTGAACACTCTATTACTAGCTTCTTTCAGGGCAATACATGTGGGATAGGGAGCAATTTGTGTCACGTGCATGTACAGGCAGGGTTGGTTATTTAGACTGTTTTTGTGTTGATGTGTGCTACAGTAAGTGTACTCTGATATGTCAACAATACAAACAAAAGAGTGTATAGCACATCCTCCAACTATCACAAGTTCATTAGTTAGCTCAATTGGCTATCACAGAGACTGAACAAGTTCAGGAGTCCAGTGAATTTGTAAAAGGTACTTGGTGAACACTTCCAGAAGAGGTTAAGATTTTTGAGGATTGCTAAAAGAATTTTCAATTTATTAACTGCTTTTGTAGATCCCTTAGTTAGTTCCATATGTGCCAATTATCTCATTTAATTGAAGTAATTGGTGGATTGGATTGTTTTTTAGTGTAGCTAGTGTCTCACAACATGTTCAAGCTGTGAAAGTCAATTTAAAGAAATTACAAATATATAAATCAACAGAAATACATTTTAAAAGCAACAATAATACAGTACAAACAGAGCTGGAAAGATTACATTTGTTATAGAGAAGTATCTTTACACGGCTTGTTGAAATTGTGTTAAGGTTTAGTTTCTAATTAATAGAATGCCTTTTATTTCATAATTTTCAATAAGTGTACAATAATCATAACCGATCTTTCTTTACATTCTCTCTCTCTCTCCTTCTCTTTTGTAGGTGCATTCAAGCTTTTCCAGATTTGCAAACATTTTTTTCTTTTTTTCTTTCTTTGTGAGAGACTGTGAATTGAAGGGTGAGAATTTAGCTGCCAGCTTCGGACAGTAAAGCTTTAATTCTCCAGCACTGACAATCAAGATCTGCAGCAACCTAGTACCTAAGCATGAACACATACACATACACACAACCACAAACACACACAAACACAGACACGCATGTGCAGATTTATCCACTACCTGAACATGAAAAAATGAAATGTACATGCGTACGCTCACTCGCACTCTCTACTGGAATAAGAGAATGGCTGAGAGGAGCAAACAGAGAAATACTAGATGCTGACGGACAGAGTGTAAACCTGTTTCCTCACCCCTTTGAGTCTTTCTGTATCTACACAGAGGACTCTTTTTCCCACAAGTCTGTATCTCAACCCATGTTTCTGGTCCTGTTCTGTACATCTGCAATATTGAAATGCTAGGATCACACTGCTATCTCTCTTCCTGTGTCTTTCCTGTGTTTTTTCTCAGCCTCCCCCCTCTGCTAAACCAGCATATGTGGTCTGCAACTGACCAAAACGTAAACCTGCATTTCTGTCTTCGTGCCCCAGCCTGCAACGCATCTGAGCCCAAAACTCCTTTTTAAATGCCATGAGCCTAGCAAATGTCCTGCTCTGTGCACTCCTTGTGTTGTGTGCCATAGGAGAAAAGTGGACTTAACCAGTTTCTGCTTTCGAAAATACCAGCATCTGTACATACGACTTCAGCTCCAAGCCAGGGGCCCCCCTCTTCACTCTGAAGGTCCATCATCAACACACCCTCCTCGGAGTCCTGCCATGGTATCTCTGCTGGGGGGGGAGGACTGCAGCATGGAGACCCAACATCCTGTGTTTTGCTGTTTTAACTACAAGGGAAAGAGACATTGAAATCACAAAACGGCCCCAAAGAGACTGTGGTTTTCTGTGTGGGAATGTGAAACAGAGAAGGGCGTGCTTGTGTGACTGAAGAAATGCATGTATTTGTGTGTATGTATGCAATTATGTGAGTTTGTGTGTGTGAGTGTGTGTGCGGCTGTGGGGTCAAAATGAGTGAAACACCCCAGACACCAAAGTCTTGGCGGGGCCTCATTCTTTCTTTCACTCTCTCCCTTCTTTTTTCTGTGGTCTTGTGTTGTTTGGTGATTTTTGTGATGAAAAAATTGTATATCTGTCTGTTACATATCATGTATGTATCTAAGGTGCAAAATATTTAAATACACATTCTGTTCTTGCCATTGGTAATCTTGTCTATAGTATCCTGCTTCTCTATGGGATTTAGGGAGGTGTGCGTGTTTTTGTGTGTGTATGTGTGTGTGTGTATGTGTGTGTGTTTTAGAGCCTCCCTGAGTATTGGGCTTTACCCAGGCTGTCTGGGACTGTGAGGGAGAGAGTTCAGTCAAGGACACAATTCGACAGGGAGTGAAAGGGAGGGGAGGAGAGGAATGGAGGATGTGTTGGAGGGGAAAGAAAAAAAAACAGACTGAGGAAATAAGAAAAGATTGTCAGAGATGTTTTAAAGCCACTGCAAGAAAATGCAAAAAATGTTGTTTCACATGGTCGCTACCAAATAAGGAAATGTATTAAGGCACAGTGTAAAGGCTGGTACAAAACACTGACATCAAGGGACCCTGTGTTCATGGTATATCCTCACGGGGAAACTTGCTATATAATAGAGCAAACATTGTACATCTGCAGCTTGTGTATGTGTGTGCGTGCCAGACAGAGGGACTAAGAGAGAAAGAAAGCAGATGGGGGAAGTTTACTGGCTGCATGTTGTGTACAGTTTGTCAACAGGCTGACTAAATAGACTCAGACATGGCCGGAGGAAATGTGTTTGCTGTGACATTCCACTGTATGGTGGAAGAGGACACGCACTGTCAACAACATGACATGACAGACAGAGAGAAAGAGGTTGGAGAGCAAAAGCACTCTGTCAGTCATTTCCTCCATATTAAATTAATACAAAACGACAGCATTTAAAAAAACGTAAAACTTCTATTAATAGCCGGGGCCTTTATTTAATTTGGTCTAAAATGACCCATATCTTTATTTGGGACAGGCATCAATACATTGATTAATTTCTGTGTTGAATTCAAAGAAAACTACTGCAAACTACTTACAATTATCAAGCTGAGTCAGAACCTGTATTGTCTCAATGAGTGTTAGAACAATTATACCCTATTCAGGTTTGCAGGTTAATAAGTAAATTAAAACCACAAGGTTTAAGCCTAACAGTAAGAGTCCTGCATTTTCTGTAGGTCTGTGTCTTATTTCCAAAATAGCCTATCTTAAAATATTCTTCACAGTAGGCTATGTGTCTCCTCCATAAAAAATGATTTAATCAGAAGCAGCATTTAAATATTGTTGATAAAGTCAGTGGTAGCTCTTTTATCAACGTTACACCACATCAACATAGCTGTAAACAATGGGTCCTGAATTCTTTTTCTCGTTTAAATAGTTTATGCAAGTTTAACATTTTGGTGCACAAACGACTTACATTTCTGTTAAGTTTTTGGCCTGCTCCTTCACATTTAACTGCGTAGTCTTAAAGGGATATTTCCCAAACAAAGTGACTTAACTGTAACTGTAACATTCGTTATGGGCTAAATAAAACGGCAGCCACTGCCAATAAGGCCACTGTTGACCAAGGAATGCGCCTCGTCATCACAAGTTCCCCCTGGGGGTAAAGAGAAGGAGGAGGAGGAAAGGGGAGGAGGGGTGTTCTCAGCTGGGACTTTCCTTGCTGCCCTCCAGAAACAGTTTAACAACAGGGCACCGTGCCAGATACCGCCGTGCCGCCGCCACGGAGGAGGCATGCGGACCTGCGCGCGGTGGTGGGGCCGCGGTGGTCTTCCCCTCCGCTGGAGAATTCTACTTCTTACAGTCCCACCATTTCTCCTCGCGCTTCAGCTTCTCGTCGTTGGTCCACGGTTACCTCGAGCCGCGCGGCTGGGGGTGGAGGAGCAGGAGGGCGCAGTAGCCTTTTCCGTTATTAGCATCGAACCGGTGAGGGACTCACGCCAACGAGGATCCCCGTCCGCCCGGCCACCGGGTCTGGAGGAAGAGGAGGAGGAGGAGGAGGAGGAGGTAGAAGTGGATGATGGGGAAAGAAAGGAGGGGGCACGAGCCTATGAGGATGAAAACGAGATGCTCTCACGCCAGGTAAGCACGAGTTGAACTGAAATAAAGTTTCAATTGGCTACATTGATGCGAAAGAAAATGTATTGCATTATTTAACAACAGTGGTTTTTTGTTTGTTTATTGCACATTTTAACTGTGTGAAACTGTTAGATTTTATTAAAAAATGAAAGAAAGAATTACCTTTTATACGGCAAAACAAGTTGCGAAAATGACAGGATAAGCAGGGATATTGTGAGATTTCACGAATATAGGCTAAGTTACTAACGAACGAGGTCTACTGTATTTCAGTGTACGCAATGCATAACCCCCTTAGTATCATTAACATGACCGTATTTAAGCTGTATACTATATACTTTTCATTTTGAAACTTTTAGCCTACCTGTTTCATCTTAATATTTTTAAATGAGGTTTCAAAATATCCCCTCATAATGAATTACATTTCATTAAATTGTAATGTTGTTTACTTTAAATGTTACAGGCTACAGTATTTGAACTAAGAGGAGACCATTTAAAGGGGTAATGTCATTGTGTTTGACTACACTTTCAAAGAAACCCTTCTTCTTCTGTTGCCTGTACTTTAGTAGATTATTTTATTTTTGCTCAGTGCACAGCTCTGTGAATTATTACAGACATGATGGAGCAGGTGAGGGGCAGAGAGTTAGTGCAGCACTGACCCTAGATCAAAGAGAGGTGACAGCTGTTCTTAGTGTAACCTTGAGCTGCGGGTTCAACCTTCATAAGTTTGGGTGCCAGTGTCCTCCCTTTACCCCCCACCTATTATCCTTTTCTCTTACTGTCTCTTTTTCTGCCCAAGGCTAAACTCTCTGACTCATTCTAGTGAATCATCAACCTCCCCTTCCCAACAAGGTTACTATGGTGATCACAGAGCCTACTCTGAATTTGATGGGGGGGGGAGGGACTATGGTTTGTGTGTTACAGTGCCTCAAGCAAATGTGTTGCCAGCAAGACATAGGTCAGAGGTCAGAGCCTGCGACCTGCCTCCTCCGCACGCTTACCTGTGGCTAGGGGCACACACTGTCATTCCTCAGTCATTCATATGCATTTTTCAGTTGCATAGTTGCAGCCCCACCATGACTTACTTCCTTATTCTATAGTATCAATACATTGATTGTGAATGTTCCCAGGTGGGGCCAAGAACATTGGAGGTGCAGCCATGGGTTGCAGACGAGCCATCTTTCACAGCTGAACTCGATCGGATCATCACGTATATCTCAAGGCCTCAGGTAAGAACGTCTTCATTCTAGAGGGTTTCATTATTTTGGGTGTGAAGAAGATGAGGAGCACTCAGACTGACCACACAGCGAAGAAACTCAAGGAAAGGGAACACTGGAGAAACAGGTGAAAGGGGGAAAACTTGTAGCTATGGCCTCGACCATAGTTTTCTTCTTCTTATGCTTACAGCTTTCACAATAGTATACTGTGAGCAATTTAACCAAAAACTGTCCTTTACAGATTACATTTTGTATATGCTACAAATAGACTAAAAGTCATAGATTCTAAAAAAAAAACAGATTTGTTCCCATCAGGTTTATCTTATGAGTCAATTTAAAAGGTCCTGACCCTCAGGTTGGGAATCACTTCACTCATATTCTTGGCCCTTTCTGAGGTTGCCAAGCTACTCACCTGTTCTTAAGGGCTGTACAGAAATGCAGCCAAGAGTTAGATCAAGTTAGGCCTCAAGAGTAATCAAAAAAAAAAAAGTATTTTTCCAACTTTACTTCAACAACTGCAGACTTCCAGAGTGGAGGTTAACATAGCAGTAATATGATCAGCCAGCACTGTCTGTGTTCTGGCAGCAGAATTCAGCAAAGCCTGGAGCCGGTGAGGACTTCTGTTCCAGCTTGGAAACTCCCATACAAAAATTAAAAAAATCAATATAGTGCCAAGTGCTGGGGAACTGGAAGGAGAAATTATTACTATACTGTGGTGATTTTTGCTTTAAGTGCTCTAGCATTATCATCAACTGAATCTAGCATTTAGCGGGCATTTTTGCAAGATCATTGTTTGCTTTTCTCGAGGCAAGTTCTTTAGATCTGTGTGCAGAGACAGAGAGAAATGCAGAGGTGCATGGATATAAAATGACCTTAATGCTTGTAAAAATGAACCCCCTTAACATGGACATTAAATGTATCTGCAAAGTCTTTCCACAAATTTACAAACAGATGTATATTTATAATGTATAGATAAAGTTTTTTACAAACATCTTATCACTTGAAACACACCTCATTTAAATACTTGCTTTCATATCTTAGAACCTCTTTTAGAACTTCCCATCTGAAATGGTCTCACAAGTTTCGCAAGATAAGCTTTCAACCAACTTCCAGTTTTTAACTTCGTCTTACTTTAGATCTGTGCTACAAAGGAGTGTTCTCAGTGCTTGATCCAACCCATCTCATCTGTGCTCTTCTCTGCTGTCCATCTCCAGCTCAACTGCTCCAGGGTTTTGTCTCCCGGTCACACTCAGGCATCACAACACCCTGTAGATTCCCCTCGCTGGCTGCTGTGTGCTGAGGACTGGCTCCTTCCCACACATGATTCTCTGTGTGTTGCTTACTCCTTTAGGTGTGCTCATACGTCTTTACTCTATATTCATGTGTTTCTATGCATGTGCTTATGCATTCATGTCACTGGCAGAGTTGGAATAAACAATGCATATTTAATCATGCATGCAATAATCTTCAAAACACCTCTGTGCTTCTCTGCCTCCCTGTCTGTCTTTGCCTCTCCAGTATGGATGGGGGAGACGCAGAGTTTCTAAAGACCATGTCAGGGCTGGGATGTGAAGTCCACAGTTTTGATCCCAGCAACTCCAACGCATCTGGCCGTCACCTTGGAAACAGTTTGGCGAGTAACCATGGGGATGGAGGCGGAGTAAGCCAGCACAAGATGTGGCTGGAGTGGCGAGCGCCAAGGAAGCACAAGCACAAGACAAGAGGCAGCCTGAGTAGTGTTTCCCAAAAACTGGCAGACATCATGGCAGCTCTGGGACATCACACAGTAAGACACACACACACACACACACACACACACACACACACACACACACACACACACACACGCACACACAGAGATATTTGGAGAAACAGTGCCAAACAAACATACCTTAGAGTCTTTTTCGACCCAACACACCCAGAAAGCTCTCTTACTTCTATGTTCCCATAGCAACAGGGCTCTGCGCCATCCCTGGCTACCATGGAAACAATTTCAGTGAATTAGACATTGGCCCAGTTACGACCTGCAGCCACAAGAGGGAGCTATATACTTTCAGTTCAGATATGAGTTTTGGACATTATTAAACGCTGGCTAGCAAATGAGAATAAAGCCAATAAGGATAGAATTTTTACTTTCAAATAGTTATACTGCGCAATATGTAAAAATAATATATAATATGTTCTTATAATAGCTCCCTTCTCTTTTTTTTTGGAACTCCCTTAAAGTGCCAATATGACTTTTTTTTGTATGAATTGAATATATGATGATTGTTGTGCAGTCCTAACGACCATCTTTTCTTTTCTGTATATTCTCTATTTTGTTAAGGTTCACTTTCTATATGCTGATCTGCTCAGTGCTGAGTGGAGAGTTTTCCAGAACTGGATCGAGTCAGGAACTCTGCAGAGTGTCCATCATCTGGTTGCAACAGTGCACCTGCAATGGGCAGGTTTTGAGGTGGGCGGGACCAACGAGGAGGTGCTACGCTATTGGTTCAGCATCCTTCAGGGTCTCAGAGCCTCTGGACTCAAGCTGATCCACAGCGCTGCAGGAGAGGGTCACAGCGTCCTAAAACAGACAGTAGCAAATGCTCACAGCTCCTACACGCTCAGCTGGGTCAACACAAGACACTGACACTCACACATGAATGTACACAGGTGTACATACATGACCAGACATTCAGGATTGCCTCAAAAACAAGAAGCAGAAGGTCTCACCTGAAATAGTTGCTGAAGTTAAACTTTTCTTAGAATGAACATTTTTATTTGGTATTTTGAGGCACACAGAGTTTTTAAGATGACATTTCCCTCTAGTGGAGATGAAAGGATCTGCTCATTTATTTATTTTTTATAATTTCAGCAAGTAATAAGGTATAATAATATTCCGTTTCATTTCTTAAAACATAACAAATAGCACATATATAAATATATATATACACATATATATATATATATGTATATATACTGTATATATATGTATTTGTGTAAGAGCTACCATTATATGGTATAGTGTACCCCTTTCTAATTAATTTGATCCAGCTGCTGTTTTAATGCAGATTCAGCAGATTATTTTGTCTGGTATCTGTACATCTCTGTTGGCCTTAAAATACTTATTTGCATTGATGAGAAGCTTACACTTTTGTTCTACTGTAAAACAGAGAGAGACACAATAAAACCATATAAACCAAAGCACAATAACATACTAAATACAGACACTGATGTATTATGTCTGAACTATGGTCCTCCCTGGAGACAACTGGGTTTTTTTTTTTAATCCAAAAAGACAGTGGGTTGCATCTCTTTTTAGGTTTTGGTTACAACAGATTGACATTTGTGGCACATGGAAGACATAATGTTGTACTGTTTTTTCTATATGTAAAATAAAAAAAGACATTGGACTAGAGCTGGGCAATTACTCGAGTTTTAATTTCAGTTACAATATTGGCTTCCCACAATCATGAAAACAAGATGATCGAGATTAAACAAATACTGTCACATATTGTGCTGTGCTTGTTTTGTCCATAGGTTTTGCATGTGGGGTAAATGTTTCAGAGGGTTTGGTGTTAGACGTTGGACACAAGAGTTCACCTTAAAAACATAGTTATTATTTTTCTTCTTATAAATGTACTTTTTTCACTCTAAACCTCTACAGTTCGTGATATAGGCTACTTGGATAAATGACTGAACATTTCCAGGAAAATGGCTTGCCTCTACCATCAGTCCTGTACCGCGTACTTCCCGTTTGGACAGGCTGAGTTGAGGGAGCTGGCAGGACAGTAATTAATCTACACAAGTGCTTTACTCCACAGTGAGCTCTTATTCCTGTAGGTGCCAGTCATTCCTCGGATGGGTTCCAACTCGCTGGAGCAGATAGGTTGGAATGGGTTGGAATGTGCTTCAGCCTCCGCCCTCCGTTACGCCATTTACGGACAGATGTTTGCCACTAGTCAGGGCGGAGGTGCGCTTTTTACGTTGAAATTTCCACATCCTGTTCTTAGCAAAAAAAAACAAGCTGACAGGCAGAGCAACCAATCAGCAACAATGAACTCACTGCTCAACCAATCAGAAGTTCACAATCTCGGGACTTATCTGCTCCGTCGAGCTCGGTCGTATGTCGCTGAACATCTTGTGGAAATCGTGAGACGGAACAACAAGTCTGCATTGAGATATCGTACGCTTAAACATTTAGACGGTAAGTACATATTTTTAGTTAGTAGTGTTTCCAACGAGGAAAGTGGATAAAAATACAGTTTTTTGGTGATTCCTTCAAGATATTTGGCAAATACAAGGTACTTCCTGCTCTGACAAGGCCGAGATCCCAAGTTACATTGTAGCTAATGTTGCGGGCATAAAAGTGAAACATTTACCACTTTTGTTTTCTGTTGTTGTTTCCTGGGAATGGAACAGTTAATTATATCCACGATTGCGTACTTATACGGTTTTTAAATATCAGTCTGTTACTTTAACAATGAGAATGAGTTGACTGTAGTGCCGAACATACCATTAACCACACATTGCGGTGTAGTCGGCATCAAGATACAGCTGTAATAAGTTCTACTTTCATACTGGCGTTGATAAACATGAAACTGTTCCAGTATTCTGGTTTTAAAAATGTAAACAAAGGTGGTGTTTATCAAGAAAATCAAGAAAAATGCAGGCACTTCAATCCACCAATTATCATTTGTATAATGACCTCACCATTTTGTGAAGTCTCAACGTTAACATGAAAAACTTGTAATTAGGAAACCAAAATGGGGAATAGGAAGCACTGCAGGGTATACTTACTGTTAGCCAAATTCTGCCTGCTTGCACTGTCTTTCTTTGTCGTCTGAAGAGTCTGCAGTCAGTGCAAATCTATGAGCACCTAAGGGAGTTGTCAATTTCTGAACTGATTCCATATGGCTACTCAAATCCAACTGGTTTGTCTGCTATAATTTCAATATATGCCCACTACTTTAGCATAAATGTGCTGAAATTACATCATTTTTTTAAATATATTTTTTTTAATTGTGGAATTTTCCAGTCTCAGTTCATCTTGGTGGAGGCTGAGTGTTTGCTGATTATAGCAAGACTTTAGTTTTGCTTCTGCTTCTGGTCGCCCCGTGTTTATTTATACATGTGTGTCTGGGTGTCACATGAGTGTGAGACTAAATTAGAGGTGGCACTAACTCCGAACCCAAAGAGGTTCAATTCACATACTCTTACATAATAAAATGCTGCAGATCCTCTTAGCTGGAAATCACTCATTTTTGTTAGACAAAGTTCATAGGTTTCAAAACGGTTGTAATAGCGTCACATTGTTACTTTGAAATGTCCCTGTTTTCTTTCAATCCCTACATGTTTGATTCTCTTTGCCTCAAATAACCAACCTCATCTTTGTCATCAGGGTGGAGCCCCCTCACCCACAGCGCCCCACCATGCCTCTGGTTACGAGGAACATAGAGCCGAGGCACCTGTGTCGCCAGACCATCCCGTCCAACATCCGCAGTGAACTAGAATGTGTCACCAATATCAGCCTGTCAAACATCATCCGCCAGCTGGGCAGCCTCAGTGAGTGTCTGCTGTGTGTGGTTATCACATGATATCAGTCATTGAAGTATGGTGTGCGTGGTTAATCACATATGGAAAATGCAACTATGTGTTATTTATTCACGCATGTGTTTCCAAAGTTTTATTTGAATTTGATTGCGACTGTACATTTTTGTGCATGGATAAGACTTCTACTTAAAGCTACACTATAAACCTGTGTTTTTGTGTGTGTGTGTGTGTCTGTAGGTAAATATGCAGAGGACGTGTTCGGGGAGCTCTTTGTCCAGGCTGGAGCATTTGCAGAGAGGGTTAACACACTGGGAGAACGAGTGGATCGTCTGCAGGTTAAAGTCACTCAGCTGGACCCTAAAGAAGAAGAGGGTATGTACTATTACTACCACACTGACCCCAGTTCAAAATGATCACAACATTGTTCAATGAAAAATACTTTTTCTTCTTCAGCGGCATAAATATTTGATAAGCCACTCTCTCTCTGACCTGACTGTTCCTTTCTCAGTCTCTCTGCAGGCCATCACTACTCGAAAGGCCTTCCACAGCAGTCTGACCCAGGACCAGCAGATGTTCACCAGGCCATCTTTGCCAATGCCTGTACAGGACACCTACATGGTCTGCAATCCGCCCCCTCCTCTCAATAACCTCAGTAAATACCGGTAAGCTTGAGCAGACTCGGATACATATTCTTGGCTCATATTCATTCACAGGGACATAGTTTTAGTTTTATATTTTATTATTGTGTCATACATGCATCCATATGCCCAGCCCGCATGGGCTTACATGACACCATAAATTAAAACATTCCCGGATCAGAGTGCACTAGGTACGCTATATTCATTGTCAAGAAAGAGAAAGTAAGAAGTCAAACTAATTAAACTGAATATCCTGTCTTCTTTTCCAAGCTTTTGAAGCAAAATTAGCAAGTTTAAAAACATCAAACTTAAACAGCCATTCCAGTTTCTGCACATCTGTCCGCCCCAATATTTCAGATTTTACTTCATGAAACAACAATTTTCTTAAATCATCATATTTTGTACAACTCAAAAGAAAATGGGACTCGGTTTCAACTTCGTCCAACTCACACATCTCACAGTCTGTTTTCTACTGGAATATTTTTGAATCAACCAACTTCAATGGCCAGAGGGAGAATACCAGATCTTAACTGTGCGACCAAGGATCTTTGGCTTCTAGATAAACGACACGTTACATATAACTCGGGCATAAAATAATTTTTGATCTGTACATATGTCCTTAGTTTTGACTTGGACAGAACAAACCATTTTTCTTCATACTTGATCAAGAGCTTATCTTTCATGGAGTTAATGTTACAGCACAGATTATTCATGTAAATATACGTCATATACACCTCGTCGAAGATTGAGTAAAGCTCAACATAACATCGAAGTGTGTGTGCGCGCATGTGGGCACAAGAAAACCCACACATGCATGCAGTGTTTCCCCTACCATTATATTGGGCCTTTCCAACCCCCCCAACGCTGTGAACCTAGGGGAAACTGCATGCATGCCATATTTTGTCAGAAAAATACAATATTAAACCCACCTGTTTTATGCACATGCTTTCAAATTTCATCAAGGAGTGGGTCCTAGATAGTGACCAATTATTGCCGGTATAAAACACGAAACATGCTGGCTTAAGAAACTAGATTGAGATGATTTATTAGTAAACTCTTCAATTTAACCAAAGTAGTCCTAAAGAAATTTGGTCCGGTAAACAATAATGTGTCATAAGAAAGCTGAAAGAAATCCGTGAGATCTTGACATCGATCGATCGATCAATCAATCTTTATTTGGTTAGCACCAATATATAACAAATTTTATCTCATCAGGATCCATTATCCATTATGAGCACAGCACTAAGCAACATTTAGCAAAGTTGAAGTGGCAAGAAAAAAACGTCCTTTCAACAGGCGGCAAAACCAGACTCATGATGAACAGCAAACTGCCAAAACTGCGCCGGGTTTGAAAAATGAGCTAGAGGGAGATGCAGGTAGAAGGATAGGGACAAACAGGGGTGGGGGGGGCATAGGAGCAGGCTGTCCCCACAAACATGTATAACATTTTAAGCTTTAAAGATATCTGTAAAGATACCCTGCTATTGGATTGAATGTTAATGGCCACTACTGAATTTAGCAAAATATGGAAAATGTGTTCATTTTGTTTCACACGAGGAATCACCTGTTGCTCTAATAAGTATCTTTTGTTGGACTAAAAGGAAAGTGTTAGACTTGTTGATATATTGACACTTGCAGTAAAGCAGATAACGGTCTGTTAGCAGACACACACTTGTTTTTACAAAGAGAGTGGATTAGCTGTAAGCATGATATTTATCTATATGATTCTCTGCAGGGATGATGGAAAAGAGGCCTTGAAGTTTTACACTGATCCCTCCTACTTCTTTGACCTGTGGAAGGAGCAAATGCTGCAGGACACCAAGGACATCATGAAGGAGAAACGGAAACACAGAGTGAGACACAGACATGTGCCACATAATCACACACACAGAACCACTAACATGAAAGTCAAAGTTGGTCACATCAATTGTAAGCATTTAGATCCAAGCCTCCGTTTCATTTTGTCACTGTTTCCTCTCTGAGCAGAAGGAGAAGAAAGATCTGAACCAACGGACGCTCAATCCACGAAAGATCAAGACCAGGAAGGATGAATGGGAGCGACGTAAGATGGGGGAGGAGTTTGTGGTGCCGAAGAATGACTTAATGTAAGTTGATGTATGGACTGTATTAGTGCAAAGTTGTTCAAATCCATGGTCACCGGAAGGATTATGAATGTGTTCTGAGAAGAAATATCCTCGTGAACTTCTCTTTAGGTGATTCAGTAAAGGTACAGAGTCAGTAGTCATATGTTAGTTCAAATTCTCCCCTGTCATAACAACCAATTTGTCAACAGAGACTTGGTTATTATGTACTACTGGCTGGCTCAACAGTAGCCCTTTTCATACTGCGTGAGCACAGTAACTATGCTGAGCAATCATTACGTCTTTGTATATTCATATTGATGTCCCAGTCTGTGAATTCACACAGACACACAGTCAGACATGCACATCAAAACAGCATTGCGCTCCCCCGCTGGCTCCCCTGATCCTGTCTCGCCCCTGTAGCGCCTCTATAGCGCCTCTATTACTACCTCTGAGGGCGGTACGGGCCTATGCAGCATTCTTAGGGAAGGCTATGAATTTGCATGTACACAAGCAGGGAAAAATGATGGAGGATCATGGGCAGAACAAATGCTCCCTTCCATTCCGCCTCAAGTAGATGAGGATTAACAGAGGTGTAAGTATGGAAATATGTAATCGACAAGTAATGTAAGCTATAAAGCGTCTAAATGCTAACATTAGCTGATATCTTAGGATAGCTAACTGTTGATCTTTATGTTGTGTGAGCTTGAATTATGACATGATTTAAACATGGGTTTTTGAATGTATTGTCTCTTTAGTTGCTGATTACATATACAGCAGTAAAATGAAATTGCTAAGGGTGTAGATGGCCTAGTGGCTATTGTCCTCCAAGTGGGAATCCCAGGTTCGAGTCTGGCCTGTGGCTTCTTTCTCGCCTGTCATTCCCCACTCTCTATCTACTGTTAAATCGATTGAAAGTAAAAAACCCAAAAATAAATAAAGTCAGTCACAGGCTAGGCTTATATAGTTAGAAAGGGAATTATTTTGGAGTGAAGTTGTTATTCTATTCTTTTTTGTAAGTCGCTGCGTTTTGTTAAGTTTTGATAGTTGTCTACTGGTCGCTACAATGTTACTGTCACTTTTTGTATCGTCTCCTTTCAGTGCATTTTTTTAAAAATTCTCACGTGTGCCTGACCAACACCTGTTCAAATTATTTGCCTTTTCAGAAAACTAAAAATAAATCAAGGTGACATTTAGTGTATATTTTTATGGCTGACTGTGATGACTTCAATGTGCTTTAAGGAACTCTTCTGAGGGTCTAAATGGCAGTATTGGATCTGGAGAAGATTTCACTTCTGAAGGACTTGAGCTGAGTACCGGCTCCTACTGCTACGATCCCGGCTCCCCTCTCTCTCCGCCTGGCAATGATGACTTCCTGCCTCCTCCACCTCCAGATATGGCGTAAGTGGTGTCTTGAATAATAAGCATATATAAAATCTGACATGAAACCTGTGGTTCTTTACTTGCTGAAATTGAGCTCAGATTAAAGATGTAACTAGATATAAGGTTGATGGAGGCATATTTAGAGTACATTTTTTAAAACTTGTCATTAACTTTCACCCTGTCACTTGTAGGTATAATGACGGACAGTATGGAGCACCAGCCCCGAAGCGTGTCAGTGTGCTGAGTCCAAGCCACCCACCTCCTGCTCCCCCCATGACCTCTCCTCCACCAAACTCTCGCCCCAACCTAGCCCCTCCCCCTGCTCCTCCTCCCCCTCCTCCTGCCTCAGGTTTCGGAGTTCCACCACCTCCGCCTAGCTTCGACTCCCCACCAGCCCCTCCTCCGTTCTCCTCTGTTCCCTCTCCACCTGCTCCCCCTCCTCCACCTATTATGTCTGCTGTTTGTCCTCCTCCTCCACCGCCTGTACCTACAGGTGGTGGTCCCCCACCTCCTCCCCCACCTCCCCCTCCCCCTGGTCCTCCTCCCTCATCCTTTAACATCCCTCCTCCCTCTGGTGGAGGTGCGTCCAGCTCTGCTCCCAAACCTAAACCGGAGCCTGAGGATGATCCCCGCAGTGACCTGCTACAGGCCATTCGACAAGGTGAGACACCACAGAATACAGATAATGTCAAATTGATATATGCAGACCTCAATGCTGATTGGCTGAATAAAAGATCAAACAAGTCAAGCAAGTAAATTATTAAAGCAGTTGTAGCTTTTGTGTACATTTCAATTCATATTCCTTACATCTAATTACAAAATACTTTATTGAGCATTTAAATAACCTGAGTTTGATGCTCAATATATTCTGTTACCATGATCTCCCACCTCTTGCCAAGAGACAATGTAAGAATCTTTGAGGCCTAACAAACTTATTACCCACAATGGATTTTTGTAAATATTAAATAATGCTCATACTATTCATTTTGTGTATTACAAAGATTAATCTACTCTTTCAGTTTGTGCATGATGTTGGCATTTTTTTGTAATTTTTCTTAGAATAGGTCAATTTTTTGACCTAATAGGTAATTTGACCAGGGATTTGATACACAAGGCCTTTTTCCTATACAGAGGATTATGGGAAAAGAACATAATCATTGTTAGATGTTCCACTTCAGAAATGCACTATTCTTTGTGAATAGTAGTAGTGTTAATAGTGTTTTATGTCCTGATAATAATGATTTTTCTTGAACAGAAAACAATCAGAATAAAACACACGGAGGGAGATCATCTATCTGATAGCTCCCAAATCTTAACTGTCCTTCCTATATCCCTTTCAGGTTTCAACCTGCGGAAGGTGGAGGCACAGAGGGAGCAGGAGAAAAGGGATGACTCTGGTAATGATGTGGCTGCAATCCTGTCACGCCGTATCGCTGTGGAGTGCAGCGACAGCGAGGATGACTCTTCAGAGTTTGACGATGATCAGTGGTCTGATTGATCGTCATGCCCTTCCACTTTTACTAACACCTCTGTAACTTTACTGCACTGTAAATATCATCAGTGTATTTACATTAAGATCACTTTATTAAGTAGCCGTGAAGCAGAGTTGCACGATGTGTGTGTGTGTGTCAGGTAATTGAGTGTATGCGCACATAGTATGTACAAGTGATGTGTTATTAATCGCCTTCCTCAACCCATTTATTTCTGTTTACCAAAACAAAAAGTCCAAAAATGGAGAGTGTGTGTGTGCCTGGTTGTGCATCAATTCACAGCTACTTTAATTGGATGACACATAACTGCGATTGATGAGAGTGTCAGGTCATGTGATGCATTCTCTGCTGAGTCTGTGCGTAAGCAAACCACATCTGTCTTTATATAAGTGTCTCTCAGACTCAGATCCCTGTAGCTACTGGCTAAAAGTCTGATTTAATCTGTTTTAGTTTTTTATAGCAAAGGATAATAGAGAGGGAGTTCACGTACACACACACACACACAACTTCATCCATACACGTATTGTATAGACTTAGTCATGACATCAAGCTCTTCCTGCTCTTTTATAGACTATATAATAAAGATGTAAAGTTTATATTGCACATTGAGTTGTATCTACTAAACACCAATAATGCAATCCCTCTGTATTCTTTTAAAGCACAATTTTTTTTTTTATCACTTTTCTTTTACTTTTGTATTCTGTCGTCTTCTTTTCGGTGGTTGTCATGGGAACAATTGACTGGTGGATGAGACATTGTCATTGGCTTGGAAACAAAATTCATGAATGAATAATTCAGTGTGATTCGTGATATATTGGTCCATCGCAGACACCCGGGGTGTTTGATGAGATCATAATGAACATATGCAGACGTTTTGACACAAATATGATTCATTTTGTACTGGGTTTCAGTTCTCTTGTGTATTTCTTCCTGCTGTTTTCTTTTTATATAAATCTGTTCTAGGGATATACTAGGGCTCTGGTGCTTTAATCACTGTGCTCTGTCTAATCAGGCAGCTTCTTAGCCTTGTCCTGCTGCCTGATAAGTGCCTTTTTTTATACTGCAAATCAGTATCAGTGAAGGTTTATTTTGGCTCCTCACACTGGACTGATCAGTGTCTTCCATAAATAAAAACAGCTGCCATTGATGAGTCAAATATAGAAGTGACTGATGTTAAATTTGGACCACAATATTTCTAAGTGCCTTTTATTTTCTATGTGCCTTTGTTAAAGCACAATCACACAGCATGCTTAGCCAAAGTTCTGCTTATTTGCCTTAAGTTTCCCAAGTATTATAGTAATTTCAATAAAGAGAATTAAATGAAGTGACTTTTCTGAATATTTATTTTTATGTTAGCTGTGTGGAAACTGATGTGTTGAATAACAAGTTACCAAATGTGTCTTGCCTCGGCATTAGACAGCTCATGCTTTATCCATGACTCATCCTCTTTTATGTCAGTGCTGCAGAGCTGCTCACAGTGCTGACTGTGAAGGGAGTGTGAAAAAGAGTCAACTACATAAAGTTCAGAAAATGAGTAGGAGTGTGAGAAAAACCTTTTGCATAACCAGTGTAATCCTCATTCCAAGGCTGGTTTTGATAAGACACAGTGGGTGCATGAATACTTTGAAGGCTGCTTAACCACCAAATAATTTAGGATACCAGGAGAGAAAGCAGCCGTCTGCCTAATTGAGTTAAAGACTAAGAGAGACATACACACTAAAAGCATTGGTAGCAGAGAAGAGAAGAGTGCTGACATCGCCTGGTAGAAAAAGACATATTTATTATTCATCAGTATAAAATATTCATTCATTTCAAAAAGGCTGTGCAACATGAACAACTGGTCAGTACCTCTCAAGTGCCTTCAACAGCATGTGCAAAATAGACTCTAGAGGTCTAGGTCTAGAACATTGTGTTTTCTACAGATTCAAGTAAATCAAATTGGGCTTTGGATCACATACATCATCAAACTGTGATAGATATACATTTAAAAACACATCCTCTCTCATCGCATTAAAGTGCCAAAGGTCATTATAGCCACCCTCAAAGAGTGGTGGTAAATATAATGTCCCTGTGATTGTTTCAGTTTGGGGATCCAGTGGATCTACAATTGGCTGAGGACGAGGCACAAAGTACTCAAAAGACAGTATGTTTCGATTCAGTCCAAAGATGGCCGCTCGCCAGGGCGGTGCAGGACATTCTGATACTCAGAAGGCCTTCATCTCTCAGAGAAGTGCTGCTTGCACGTGTGGGAGTATTGGACTTCATGTTCTGGACTTGGATGATAGTCAATGCAGCTATGTGTGTATCTTGGCACACAAACAGTGATATGTCTGGCATAGATTGTGTGTTTTGGCAATGTTTGGCAGTCTACACATCAACGGGGTTGTGTGTGTGCGGGTTTTGTGTGTATCTGTTGGGGCAGCAGGCCTGGAGCAGCACCTTGCGAATGTCTTTGTGTCTCAGACTGTAGAGGATTGGGTTCAGCAGCGAGCTCCCTGCCGCTGGCACCAGGGTGGCATAGGTGTATAGAGGAGGGCTGGAAGCATCTCCCAGCAGCCCCCAGAGTGAGAAAGGCATCCAGCAGCCCACAAACACACTGAGCACCAGGATCAACCGAGAGAAGCCCCTCCCACTGCTGTGTTTGCTTGCATATGATTGGTTGGCAGGTAGGAAGTGCCTCTGGGTAGCGATGGCATGGGCATGCCGCCTGGCAACACGGCAGATCCCAGCATACAATTGTAGTGTTATCATGACAACCACCAGGAAGCCACCACACAGAAGTGATAGGTATGTCCGGGTCAGAGGTCTTGCTACAGAACAGGAGTTTGGCTCTTGCAGACAGTGCCACCCCATCGCAGGCCCCGCCCCTATGATGCAAGCACCCAACCAGACCAGCAGCAGAAGGATGGCGGCTCTGTGACGAGATTGGCTTGAACCATAGGTGAGGGCTTGGCTTAAGGACAGGTATCGGTCCAAAGCGACACCCATCAGGCTACAGAGTGAGGCAGTGAGTGATGTTACCAGCAGTCCAGAGGTCACCAATTCTGACCACTCGCTGGGCTCCACGCAGAACAGGAAGAGGAAGTGCAGGATCAGAGCAACACCCGCCAGGAGGTCAGCCAGTCCGAGGCTCGCAAGTAGCAGGAAAACAGGGGCACGAAGAGACGGGGTGGCCAAGATGGTGGTGACCACTATTGCATTTTCAGCTGCGATGAGAGTTCCTGAAACACACAGGGCCACACCCCACACGGTGAGGGGTGGGACTTCATATTTGGGGGACCTATCCAGCAGGTCCAGAGGGAAGAAGGATTCAGCACCTGAGGACTCATCCCAGCCCAGATCAGAGGTGTTCAGGATCATGGCTGATCAGCCGTCACAGAAACACAACCTAAAAAAGAAAAACAAGGAGAAACATGTTGAATGATCTCAAATGTATCTTTAGCATTTCTTTAAGTCCTTTAAACAAGTGTTAGAAGCATCTTTAGTCTGTAGAGCTGCGTGAGGCCGGATGTGGCAGCAGAGGAAACAATGTGGTTATGGTAAAAGCAAGATGTTACACTCTTGTTATATAAAGGAGTAAGCTGTAAAATCCAAAAAATAAAACAGACAAACATGTTTGAGTATTTTGAGCGGTATTTGTGGATGTCTTGTTTCTTTCTATATATTTTTTTTAAAAGGGAATCAACTAAATGACTAAAATACTTATTTAGTTATAATATAATAAGAACTGACATGAAATCATATTTATTAGATCAATACGCCACCTATCAGTGCATGTGGCTAATGTATTGTGCCCAAGCCCAAATTAGCCTAGATTTGCTTAAATAACTAATAAAATTTAGCGCTCAAAGTGCAACTAACGTCACGCTTTTAAAAAGGGAATAACATACAACATAAAAATAAAAATTGTAAACACTACGTGACGACACCTATGTGTATCATTGCTGGATGTATCAATTTGTATGCCTAATGCATCGCAATAGAACCTGTTAACACCTTGTTCACGCTTTATGAGGCTATTTTCAATCTTTAAAATCCCACAATTTAAGTCAGGGAGCTCCAGTCGGAGGTCTCCGTTTTGTTAGTGTCCAGTTCAATAGCCTAACTAAAGATTCTCCTTGTGCAGCTGCCTATCTCATCAAGAAATCGAGAACGCCTGTGTTGCTAATTTGGTTTACAGTTCGGCTATCTAAGGAATGCGCCTGTTACAAGGTTAAGATGCTCGTGCTATCCAGCATGTTGTCTGTCTGTTCTTGCGGAATGAACCGCAAGTAAACTGAATCGAATATAGCATCTAAAATGATATTATCATTATTTCAAAGATGATTTTAGAGGAGATTTTTTTTTTTTTAGGCTCCAAGAGTCTTTCTTCTTCCTCTCTGTCACGTCTCAGCGTTGAGGCGGTATAGCCCACCTCCTGTTGTATAACACAGATGCAGGTGCAGCACATAGGATGTCCCAACACGTGCACGCACACATGAGCACGCACGCACGCACGCATCACACAAACACGTCTTAAATGGATTATTAATCTTACCTTTCTTAACGCAAATCCAGATTCCAGATTTGTTCTCTCCGCTTATTAGACACAGATGGTGAAGACGATGGTGATGCCGTCTGCAGTGACGCTCAGTCTTTATAAAAAAAGAGGACAGTCCCTGTCTTCGGCTACACTCGCGCTCCTTTATTCGTGCTGTCTTTATCAAAAGTTGCTCCAAACTCTCTCTTATAGCGTCTCTTGCATCTCTCTTGCTTTTCAGTCTCTCCGGAGCGCTGACTGGATGCAGAATAGATTCTCTTGCGCGTGAACTCATCCACAAGAGAGCATCCCTGACGTCAGTGACTGAGAGGCTCGACCAATAAGCTGCCGACATTCGGGATGCGGGGAGAGCAGGGGAGGGGGGATGTATGGGGAGTAATTTCATTCAGAAAAATGCGGCAGCTCTGTGACCCCTCCCACTGCGGTTCACTCTCTTGCTCTCATTTCTTGTAAATATTCACCACCAAAGACCCCCTCCCCCTACAAACACAGGTTTTCTTAATCAGACCAGGGGCCTGGTTGAATGAGAGGTCTCTGTCTGCTTTGTTTTTTTGGCGGGCCTTACAGATGTCGAGCTTCAAGACAGAGTTCATGGCTGGAGCTGTCCTCGGTGCTGAAACGCAAGAGGATGACTCATGGGGAGATATGCTGCAGAGAAACAGTCATCTGTGTGAGAGGACAGACTCTCATTGTAAAAACCAACAAGCGTAGCTAAGTGACAACTTGCAATATTGCAAGAAATGCACAAAATATGTCCTTAGAGATAGGCTACCAAACCCAGACACACATACCCTTTAAAAAAATTAAACGTCCTCCTTTCTGTATCAATATTAAAACATCTTCTCACTCTGACATGTTCATCAAGCAGATTTGTTTAGAAAACTTGTCTCCATATTTGACTTTGTTTTAAGTTATGATATTATTATTATCATTATTACAATTATGTAACATCAGAGCCAAATGTCTCACTATTGATCACAGGTTTGACTTAATGTCTCTCTGACTTAATCTAATATTAATTTAAATTGCGCATTATAAGGTTCCAACATTTAATCTGCCTTAAATCATTGAACACTTGAAAGGACCGTGTCTGAATGCTCGTCAGTACAGGCATGAATCGAGGATGTCGATGTGGAGAGTTCCCTATAATAAAACGAAATCATTTATTCCCTCTTTTAATTTAAGAATCCAAACACGTGCCCTCTGCCTCCTGCGGTATCACAACAGCAGCAGGGGGATTCATGGCTTCCCCGACTTGATATCGAGCGTGGGTACTGCAGATGTCTACGTGGTCGCGCATATCAATGCGCTACCCATAGGGAGGGGGGAATCTCGTCCTGCTCAAGCCATATTAGGACTCACTTCCTGCCGATTGGGTCCTCCTACGTCACAGAGGCGATCTGAAGTGCAACATGTGCCACTTTCACAATTCTCGACTCGAAGACCTCATCATTTATAACACATTATGCTACAGCTGTTGTTTTATGATTTGGTTATACAATTTAAAAACAATGAACGTAGACACTGAGCGAACAGTGTAAGGAACCGGCTTGTTCTTATATTCCCAATCTATTCTGCCATACACTGCGATTAAGTACCATTTCTTTGCACTAATATTAATTTTTATATGACTATATGAGTAGGCTATACAAAGTATATGATTTGTGTCTTTCCCCCGCCGTGGGTAGTAAACTACAACATTATCCATGTCGCTGGTGTGTCGGTTTTTGCAGCAGTGGGAGTAAATCGTGTTCGCCAGCTTGCCTCTGTGTTTTAATGGACGAGCCATACAGTGAAGCTCTACTCATGTACGCAGACAATGTGTGTGAGAGAGATGTGGGTGTACGTGAGCCATGTCTGTGTGAGAGGAGGAGGAGGAGGAGGTGAGGGTGGTGATGTTGGTGGATTTCTATGCATAAAGAAAAAAAAGTGTGTCGTGATTCTCCACTCAATAGACCCGATATTTAGGGTCTATGAGTCAGAGCATCTGCATCACAAAACACTTTGAAGGTCAGATAGTTTGTACGTTTTCTGTCGGTGCATTGCACGTTTGAGTGCAGGTGTGTAGCTTAAAGTTATGAAACATTTTCCACCCTGAAACAATCTCATTTATGTAATCATATTTCCTCGTTGCAACTCCACAAAGTGATCAATCAGGTTTTAGTGATTCGTCATCTTCAATTCCGAGAAGCACAGATGATTCATCCTGATGATAAATGGTATTTGTATTATTACTGTATTACATTACATTTTCAAATAGGTAGTGGCTGGCAAGAGCTATGACTAGCACCATGAAATTAATAATAAAGCACACTTTTTACATCAAATATATGAATGATTATCAGAATCTTCATCTCATTAATTACATTACATTTGGTGGGAAAAGAAGATAATATATTTTGAAAACGTATAATAGTGTAAGATTGAGTGCAAAAAAAAGACATATGTTGAACAAGATGAATATATGTTTAAACAAATGCAAGGAACTATTTGATGTCAGACAAATATTAGAAATGAGCTAAAGCCATTTATGTGTTGGTGTTTGGCATTGGTTTTACATGCTACATAATGTACAGCTTAGACAAATGAAACCTTAAATAAAAAACACAAACAAATGCAGAAATATGGACACACATAAAATAAAAGGTTAGTGTGCACATAAATGCAGAGTATAGCCAAAGTAACCCTGAACATCCCTGGGCTTTTATTTTAATTCTAATATATTAAGCTTTTCAAACGTATGCACTAAAAAGTCATGCTGTCGAACAAAACAGAGGGTTTAAAAAGAAATAACATGTTTCTTAGTATTAAAGATAGCTATAGATTAATACTGGATTTTTACGAAGTAATCTTCTAACAACTGTTTCCCTAAAACTAATTTTATCATCAGTTTATGTACACACATTGATCCTTTTTTTTGTATACCAATATGTTAATACATATCTGCAATGTTGTGCCAATACTTATACAATAAGATTGAAGGGACAAAAGCAGGAATACACCAATGAACTCAATTTGATATCTTGTTAACTTACAGCATGAGCCTGACTTGAAAACCTGGTCTGATGTAATTATAGATGTATAAATCATATTTGAGATGATTGACAAGTGACCAGGCAGCTCTTCATCACAAATAGACACATCTGAAGTGATGTTTTGACGTTCAGGCTGCCTACCACCTCGTCACACATTTGATTGGATAACTCTTGACACACATTAACTTCTACATCAGACAGTGCTGATGACAAGTCTTCATCAGACTCTTTTTAGTGGATGATTAAAATAAATCAGTTTCACTCCTCAGAGGAAAACCAGAGCCAAATGGGATCTGAAGGGTTCTATTTCATTTCACAGATTAATGTTTGCTACCTTGTATTTGCCACTCAAAGCCAAGATGCTTAAGACAGTTTTGGCTTGTGCTTAGTTTATTGAAAGAGGGATTTTTTTTTGCTGGAATGGTTTAGGTATCCAGTGATCAAAAAAGTTGTGTAAGCAGTTTATATTCATAGCCATGTTAGTTGTTGCCCTGGGGATTGTGTTGTCTGTCAGCCTGTCACTCCACATTAAGTCAGTCCACTCTGAAATAACCTCTATTGGATGGGTACTTTGTAATTTTAGATTAATCATTATGAAACATCAAATTTAGATTTTTATTATAGGTGTCTTTGTCCACATTTAGGTATAAAGATAGAATGAGCGATTTCCCCCTTGTATTTCTTTAGTTTCAAAGTTAGGGTCTGGAAATGTTAACGTATCCATTATAAAACCTGTTGTGTAACGAATATAATTTTAGCCATGTTAGCTGTTTAGCTCAGGGCATGGTGTCTGTCAGTTTGTCAGTCCATCTCCTTGTTGTACACTGAAATATCTTAACATCTTTTGAATGGATTACAAATAAATATGGTCTAAATATCAAAACTTTGTTCACTTTCCAAACTACAATTTTTATTTTAACAATTCTCTTGTTTTGAACCTGGCAAACTCCAGTATTAAAAAAATGAAGCCAATGCAGAAGTGAAGATTCTGCAGTTCATTGAGTGTTCGCTTGAGAACCCAGGAAGTCACATACACGGGCATTTTACAGCAGAGAAATCCTTTTTGATTTTATGAACAATATAAGTTATACATAGGCATTAGGCTGACATGATTGACAGGCGGGTGCGGTTTAATTGTTTGTGAAGAGACTTAAAACCTGCCTCAGCTCCAGCTCTCATCCTGTCGTTAGGTTGACTAAAAGTTAGACTGAGACAGGATTTCCAGCATGGCCGCTGCCGCCGATGAGCCCTGTGCAGTATCAGATGGGTGAATACTTATACTTACAATACTTACTTATTTATCTCATTCTAATTTTTGATGTTTAAGGACATTTTGTGAATGCAAGTTTTGGTGCATGCAGTGTTTGCTTTAGTGAACAGGTGCCACTTCGTCCAACCTGGTGTGTATTTCAGCAGGGTTAAGGTTGGCCAGATGGTTGCCAGGAGACCAGGTTTTGGTGTCACTCATGTTACACAGATCTCTGTCTCCTGTCTTTCCCTCAGTGTTCAAGCCCTGAGCGTTATCACATTTTGCAACTACTGGATGTCCTTTTGAGGAAACATTTTTTTGTATTTTTTTTCCCTTTGTAGAATTCTTTAAAGTTTCCAGCTGTCGTTGTCAGTGCTCTGTGGCAGTCAGGATGCAACCGCTGGTTTTGAAGGTCCTCTGCACCACTCTGCTGCTTGTAGCTGTGGTGCCTGCTGTTTACTCACAGTCAGGTATGGATTCATTTATTGTGTTTGACAATTATTTTCATGCTGTATAACAATCTGAGTGGGTTTTGGTCTCTTTTAGAGACCTACTAGTGTGTCGTCCTTCACCATCCCTCCTGGTATCTGATGTCTCCTTTCCTTGTCTTCTTATTTCTTATTATTCATCTTGTTCAAAAGTCTCCCTTTTCTTTAAACTTGATGACTTGCTTTCCAATGTTTTTTGTTTTCAAGCAGACAACAGTAAAATTAGGAATATATACTATCTATTATATGGCATTACTCATGAATTTTGACCCCCCACTTTTACCTGATTTGACGCCGCCCAAGCTCCTGGGACATCTTGAAATAATTAAACAGTTTTTGTGTTTATGTGGGAGTATTAATAGTGCATTGGCCAACATTTTGTTGTGAGTGACACTTTCAATCCCCTGCCTGCTTTGTGTGCCTGCTATAGATTGTTCTCAGGCCGAGTCATGTGACCTGTGTGTTGGAGTCTCCATGCTCAACCTGACAGGCTGTGTCTGGAGGCTTTGTCCAACTGGTAACACACAAACACACACACACACACACGCGCGCACGCACGCACACACGCACGCACGCACGCACGCACGCACGCACACACACACACACACACACACACACACACACCTCTAACTTCTGATAGTAATTCAATCATTCGGTTGCTGTAACAGAAGCTTCCCTGGTTTGTACAAAAAGACTGAATTATTTAGTATGCGAGTAACACTCATACACACACACACACACACACACACACACACACACACACACACACACACACACACACACACACACACACACACACACACACACACACACACACACACACACACACACACTGAAAAAGCATGTTCTCTGTCTCAGGTAATGATACAGGCAGTTGTATGACTGATCAGGGTGACTCTGCAGACACCGCCATGAACTGCAGCTGGACTAGAGTGTCTGAATTGTGCACAGGTATTCAACAATACACTCTAAAATCGACCCAAGATATTTCTTTGCATCCTGAGTAACTTTATTTTGCGTGTTGCATTTCAGTTGTAGAGACTGTGGCTGATGGAGGAGGTGGAGGTGACTCAGGTAAATTATGTGGACACTGCTCAAGCATCCCCCTCCTTCCCCTTCTCTCCCTTTTGCGTCAGACAGCTATTATTCCCACAAGAGCTGCGTTAAATGTTCCCCACACATTGACTGCCACAAAGTCATTTCCAGTAAAAGCCCATGAAAAAATGCCCCTCCTTCCCCCACACCTCCCCGTTTCATGTCATTTCCATTTAAACCCATCAAAATCTCCTTCTTCTTTGCTTCCAGGGGATGGAAGTAACCCCAATCCATCATCAGAGTTCTCCCAGGCCAAGTTTGACATGTCCAGCTTCATCGGCGGCATAATATTGGTGCTGTGTCTGCAGGCGGGGGGCTTCTTTGCCATGCGCTTCCTCAAATCCAAAGAGCAGAGCAGCTATGACCCCATGTGAGTTGAGATGCATGTAGGTGTTAGAGGACAAAGAATTTAGCGTGACTGCATCAGTTTAAGAAGGTGCATGTCAATGTGTTATGAAGTGACGGTCTGTTGATGCAACAGTGGCCTCTGGTGGAGGCAGCGACCAACAGCAGCCTAACACAGTGTTGTGCATACTTAACATCCTTTCTAGATTGCATTTGATTGTAATCTTTAATTGCATCTTTCCATATTAAAATTGTTTCTGTCTTATTACAGAGATCAGCCAGCACCACAGTGAAAACTAGAAGTGTAAAGGACAAACAAACTAGCCTAGAGGACAGCTGAGCAGTGACTCATCGATTTGTGACGACAAGAGTGTTTTTTGTTTTTTCTGAGCCCCTGTCATTCTTGGTTTGGTCCCTATAATTTTTCCCCTTGGGGAATGGGTGTGTTATAAAGTGGATTTTTTCTCCCCAGAATAATGTATCGTGCATGTTCAGTGTGTTTGTATAGTATTTATATGTCAGAGAAATGTGGCTGTTAATTTTCACAAAATCAGACAAATGAGAAAAAAAAACAGCTTTAATGTCTCCGCTTTGTGATCTAAGATATTACGTTTAAGTGATAACCTCTTCAAAACAACCTGTATCTGAATTAACCAAGATTTAAAAAAAGCACAGTGCTGTTGTGGGAAAGGGAGATATGATTAAATGAGAACAGTAGGTCAGACGAGGTCAAAACAGGCATTTGAAGTGCTTTTAAGAACTCTTAAATAGACCAAAATGGGATCCACACAAGATTCTTTCCATCATTGAAGAGGATGTCTGTTTTTAGTGTTGAGCTAACATTTTGTTGCTTTATTGAGACAAGAAAAATAATATTTGTAAATGAAACATATTTCTTTCCTCCGTTAACTTGCAGTGAGTTGGATTGCTAAAATGATTACCTAAGAGAGCCATGGAGGAGATTCTGATGGTTTCTTTGTCAGAATTCTGTTTCCACTGCTCATATTATCAATATCAGTTTTAGCCCTGTAATAGCAGCTATAAGAGATGTAATACTACCCTGTTTCATCATTCTGTGCTTGTTAAGTTCATCATTGTAAATGTTTGATCTTTAGGGTGTGCCACTAGAATATCAAATTGCTTTAAATGGGCCGAATAAACTATGGATAAACACATTTTCCTCCCTTCATGGGTCTATGTCATGTCTTGATGCTAACAGCAAGTCAAAGTCAAATTCTGCACAGTGTGAGCTAAGTGCATGTTTGACCACATATGCACAGTAAGGGAGGTGATTCACCCATGCAGACAGAGATGGATGTGCAGATAAGAGACTCAACAAATATCCTCACTTATCTGGACATTAGAATGGACAGCAGCATGCAGCAGGGACAGCCCGAGATGGAGGCCTTTCGGGGAGCAGCGGGATGGGTGGTTGGATGCACAGGTCGCTGTCTGCGCCAGGACCAGCAGGCTTGAATGAGCCTGCACAAAAAAAGTTCCCCAACTGGATCAAGTGTGGCTGACTTCCAAGTCTGTTGACAAAGGCCAGGACTGAATACAGCTCCCGTTTCGCTATCCAAGCACCCTCCCCCAATACACAGAAAACCACTCTTTCAAAAAAAGAAAGGGAAGTCTAGTAGACACACACTTTGAATCCACAATAAAGTTCCAGCAGATTTCATGCACTGTTCTCTCCTCTAAAACACGCACTAGAGATCTCTGTTTGTGTGTGTGTGTGTGTGTGTGTGTGTGTGTGTGTGTGTGTGTGTGTGTGTGTGTGTGTACCATAGCATATGTGCAGCAGCCTCAGTTTGAGGCCTAGTGTGTGTTTAGCAGGTGTGGACAGCTACAGGAGGAAAGTTAACATCCCACCTCCACCCTGCTGCCATTTAGTAAAACTTCCGTGAGACACACACACACACACACACACACACACACACACACACACACACACACACACACACACACTGTGTATTTTACTGTTTTTTCCGCCTCGCGCTCGTCGGCTCCCAGTTCACCCTATGCGGACTAACTCTGGAGGGCGTGTTCACAGCATTTACTCTGTACACAGACCTTGACACACACACACACAGACACACACACACACATACACACACGCTCACACACGCCACACACACCGCACTGAGGACAACTTTGTACAAAACCTTTCACAGATGGAACTTGCGGAAGCTGTAAAGTAAGGTAACACCGTTTTGGCAGCTTGTTATTATATGTTTATGAGGTTTTTTTTAACGATTACGAAAAGGTACAGTTGTTCTTGTTCAAAAAGAGGAAAAGTAGCGACAGGTGTGTTCTCTCTCGCGCTGCTCAGGAGGAAGGTTTATTTGAATTTGACAATTGTCCTTAAAGGCAATTGTTTGTATCTCTTTTATTTTGACCAACAACTTTGATAATAATTTAAAACGTAGGATCAATTGTTGTCCCATGTATTGTCTTCAAGATAAACAGCGACTATAAATAATTACTCACGAGTAGCTAGTCACCCAACTTCTAGCTTAACCGCAGGATTCTACCAATTGTTTTTATTATTAATTGGAGCACCTCTTGAACACTACAATAACATGTATTCTGTCTTTAGGTGTCAGGCTGTGAAAGCTGTGGGGTCTTGTTGCATGACATCCTGTTGGCCAAGCTTCAAAACGCTCAACTAGACTCTCTTTGCGCATGCGTGAATTGCTCTAAGGTAACTAGCCTCAGGGCAGTAAACATACACAGGTTCAGTTGTGTGAGCATTTATAGACATAATTATAATTAAAGTGTAGTGCAGCAGCTAAGTCAATTGCACACTCCTTCATTTAAACACCATGCTCCTAGTATCAAAACAGGATAGTAGCAGAATAAATCTGATTACCCTCAATATTTATTTTTTAACTCTTTTACAGTATGTTTTTTATTTTGTATTTGAACAAATCAGCTACAGAAAGAGTGGACTAAGGTCACTAAAAAGACTAGACTACCCTACCTGACACATCATGTGTCTTTGCCGACCTTGATTTAGTTTAAATGTTTAATAGTGTGACTTCTTAAGTTCAAGGTCAAGACAAGATACAGCCTGTCTCTATAAACCAAAATGTTCCTATAATGTGCTACTTGATACACTGCGTTCTGAATGATTTGATACTGAATAGATACAAAGGAGTCCTGAGAGCACTGAACATGTTTACTCTTTCAAGTCTTCAGTTTTTATGTTATATCACAGGCTTAACGTAAACACAGAGTAATAGGTGCCGCCTGTTTGTTTAAGATTGGGGTTTTGGCTTCACTCAGGAATGGAAAAAGAGCCGGCTGACTCTCCTCTGGATCTGAGTCACCTGACAGAAGAGGAGCAGTCAAGCATCCTGAAGGTCTTACAGCGGGACCTGGAGCTGCAACGCCTCGATGAAGGACGTGTAAGGTCAGAGGTGAAAGTTTTCCCCCAGTAATTGACCAAAAAAAACAGTTTGTTATAGTTATATATAAAACTCTCCTCTGGATCTGAGTCACCTGACAGAAGAGGAGCAGTCAAGCATCCTGAAGGTCTTACAGCGGGACCTGGAGCTGCAACGCCTCGATGAAGGACGTGTAAGGTCAGAGGTGAAAGTTTTCCCCCAGTAATTGACCAAAAAAAACAGTTTGTTATAGTTATATATAAAAAAAATAAAAGAAACGTATTGTGCAAAACCTTAACAGTGTAGACCATAAAGCTCGATTGCAGCTGATATCATTCAGGTTCTGATGCAGGGAGGCACAAGATGAGATGGGGTCCTCAAAATCAGGAAATAAACTAGTTTTCTCTTTACATTTGAAGCAGGTCTAGACTTACTCTCTGTGAGCTGTTTCAAGATAGTGGAATACGAGGAAAGACAAAGACTGAACAGTAGGATCCAGAACTTTCCCTTAGTTTTATGAACAAAAGTCAGTGGCCAAACTGTGAACCTGGGACTCTTCTGAGTTAGTTGGGGAAGTTGCCCACTTTGACACTTTTGGTTGCTAAATGAGCCGAGAGTAGACTCACTAAGTGAAGTCATAAAGATACACAGGGACATTTGTTTTGCCTACAGGGCACAACATCTCCTGCAATATCAGTGTTATTGATTATTGGCAATGTGGTCTGAGAGGCCCTCCATTTTTGCTTGTGTTGATTAATCTTCAAGTTTGGGCATCAGCAAGCAAATAGTTACTCATTCTGAGTCTTTTAATCAGGAAGGAGTATGACATGCTCATCGCGAGTTCCCAGTGCCTAAGGCAGAGTTCACATCCTCACTGTTGATGAGTTAAACCTGATAATGTTTTTCATTTTTGCTAGACTTCAATAAATTAATTGGCAATTATGTTTGCAACAAACTCAAAACTAAGTAATAATAGAGGTCTACTGTCAGGGTGACTATAGAAGAGCAAAGTATTTGACCCTCCTTGTTATTGTAATTGAAGTCAAGTCATGTCTTTTTTTAACAAAGGGTCTTGTCTGTTTTAGGATCAGACTAACCGACTGTTTGGTTTGAGTCCTAGCGTGACATGAGCCGACTTTGCAGTTGTGATTGTTTGCTGTGTAACTCGGCCTTGTGTTGACGCTGCAGGATCCTTGAGGAGACAGAGACAGACCCTGCACGTCTGCGCTCCCTGACGGGGGTGTGGTTCGACGAGGAGCGCAGCAAACGCCACCGCAACCGGGCGTCAGTCTGCACCCTCGTCCATGCCACCCTCCGCCACAGAAAAACCAAGAGCAGAGGTAAGTTTTCAGTTAATGCGATACTAGTATTAAATCAGTGGGTGTTTTCTCTTACCCTGATAGGGATATCCAAGTGATGGCTGTGTGGTTGTTGTTACGGTAACAGATGTGTCCCTGACTGAACTGTTCAATGGCGAGAGAGAGGAAACCTCGCACAACAACAACAACTCCTCTCCTGAGGCTGAAAAAAGACTGAAAGACAGAAGAGAGCAGAGTGCAGGGTTAGTAAGAAGTCCGTTTACAGAGAAAGAAATGTAACGTGTGTAGGTACAGTTGTTCACATCTCTTTTTTCTGTTTCTAGAAGTCAGGAGAGTTTTAAAAGTTCTCCAACATCCAGAACAAAAATTCCCATAACAAAGGTCAGTGTGCGCATGACTTTTTAAAAATCTTTTCCTATGCTTAAAAAGATACTCTAAATATAAATAATCATCTCCATCCCACATTTGCAGATTACACCAAGTAGCAGTTCTGGTTTTAACGGTAAATTAATCCACAATCTATTTAAACATAATGACAACGACTCCTTTTAAACCCTGGAATAACACTCCTCAGATATCCCATTTATTTGAGTGAAAAACTGTTTCTCTGACTTTGAAATGTTCACAAAACTTAAGTGGTAACGTTGAAACAATATACAAGATACAAAAAAAGATGTGCTGCATTTCATTTCTCAGAAATAATGTACTTTATGGAAATCAGCAAATGGTAGCAGCTAAATATTGTGTCAAAAAATGACACGTGACCAAAACATCTTAATACAACTATAAATTATAAAACGTTTCTTGTCCGTCATTCCTTTGCATAACATGGCTCTGATTTTTGTTCCAGATGTTTTAACCTGGGGGGATTTTCTTTTTTTCTGATTTTTTCTGATAAAACATGAATGCAGCATAAATGAGTTACTTCTTCAAACATTTTTTTCATGCATTGTTCGATGATGTGCGAAAAGGAAGATGGTAATAATTGATAGATGATGTGTTTAGAGTTATGGGGTGTGTGTGTGTCGTGTGTGTGTGCGCTCAGGAGACTACGGGGACTATGACTCTCTGAGCAGCAGCCTGACAGAGCCAGCTTCTTCTGAAAAACAGCAGCTCCACTGGCAGTCTTCAGTCGGGCTACATGGTACCTACACTCACACATATACATATACATTTACTCACACACACACACACACACATACATACCACAAATGTGTACTCATGCACACATAAGCACTTTTGATTAATTGTCCATCCGGCGACGCAAGATGACTCAGCAGAGGACAATGACGCAGGAGCTGATTTCTGCTGTGTGTGTGCGTGTGTGTGTCGCGCGTGTGTGCGTTATAGCTCACTGGGAGCATGATGATCTGTTCAGCTCAGGGGGATTTTTGGATTAGTGGAGGTGAGGGGCCGTATTCTGTTCTCATTGGTTTAC